AAAAAAAAAAAAAAAAAAATCCCAATGGTATTATAGTGACCTTGATAAAATAAAATTTATGGGGTGGTGCCTGTGGCTCAAAAGGGTAGGGCACCAGCTCCATATGCCAGAGGTGGCAGGTTCAAACCCAGCCCCAGCCAAAAAAAAAAAAGTAAAATTTATGGAGTAAAACAAACAGAAGAAAAATAGTAATATGAAGAATATACAGAAAACAAATTCAAGCCCATATATGAACTATACTCTAGGGTAGAAAAAATAACATGTAAAGAATAAAATGTCAACAAGAGAAATATAAAGAGTAAACACATCTGGCTTGGCGCCCATACCACAGTGGTTATGGTGCCAACCACATACACAAAAGGTGATAGGTTCAAACCCAGCCCGGGCTTGCTAAATAACAACTGCAACAAAAAATAGCTGGGTGTTGTGGCAGGCACCTGTTGTCTCAGGTACTTGGGAGGTTGAGGCAAGAGAATCACTTAAGCCCAAGAGTTTGAGGTTGCCATGAACTATGATGCCACAGTACTATACCAAGAGCAACATAATGAGACTCTATCTCATAAAAATAGATAAATAAATAAGGCTAGGCACCTGCAGCTCAGCAGCTAGGGAGGCCAGCCACATACACCAGAGCTGGTTGAGTTCAAATCCAGGAGCAAGGGGCCAAACCACAATGACAATGACAGCCAAAGAATGGCTGGGTGTTGTGGTGAACGCCTATAGTCCCAGCTATGTGGGAGGCTGAGGCAAGAGAATCACCTCGGCCCAGGAGTTTGAGGTTGCTGTGAGGTCTGACGCAAGGGCACTTTGCCCAGGGTGATGGCTTGTGACTCTGTCTCCAAAAAAAAAAAAACAAAAAACAAACAAACAAACAAACAAAAGGCAGTGCCTATGGCTCAGTGAGTAGGGCACCAGCCCCATATACTGAGGGTAGTGGTTCAAACCTGGCCCCAACCAAACTACTACAACAATAACAACAAAAAGGGCGGCGCCTATGGCTCAGAGAGTAGGGCACTGGTCCCTTATACCGAGGGTGGCAGGTTCATACCCAGCCTTGGCCAAAACTGCAACAACAACAACAAAATAAAAATAAAATAAAAAAGGGCAGCACCTGTAGCTCAAAGGAGTAGGGCGCCAGCCCCATATGCCGGAAGTGGAAGGTTCAAACCCAGCCCCAGCCAAAAACTGTAAAAAAAATTAAATCTAATAAAATAAAATTTTAAAAAGCCAGGTGTTGTGGTAGGCGCCTGTAGGGAGGCTGAGGCAAAAGAATCACCTAAGCCCAAGAGCTGGAGGTTGCTGTGAGCTATGACACCATGACATTCTACCAAGGGTGACAGAGTAAGACTCTGTCTCTTAAAAGAAAAAAAAAAGAGTAACCATACCTAACAAATATAAATTATACCTCAAAACTGCATGTCACTGACATCAAAAATTATGTACATTTTCTTTACACAAGTATTGTTCTACCACCCTGAACAGCAATTCAGAAAAGTATACTATGAGTTAAAAAGCATGTGTCAACTAATGTCAGAAATACTAAAATAGGGGCGGTGCCTGTGGCTCAAAGGAATAGGGCTCTGGCCCCATATGCTGGAGGTGGTGGGTTCAAACCCAGCCCCAGGCAAAAACTGCAAAAAAAAAAAAAAAGAAAGAAATAATAAAATAATTCCGAAGGAAAAAGTAAGAGTTTCTACAAAGATGTCTATAAAATATACTTCTGACCATTAACTGAACGTATTAAATAAGGGGATAATGCACTGAATGTTAAAACTGACAGAATCTAGTATTTTCCACTTGAGTTATAGACTTTATAACCTACTAAAATAAAATTCTAGCAACCAAATCCAGTAATTATTTATAATGTTTTTAAGCCAGTCAAATTTAGCTTGGGGGGGGGTGTACACCAACTTCAGTGACACTAATGTTATTAAGTACTGATAAATCACTAACATCGACTAGTCAATTATTTATAAATTTAAAGGCGGGGAAAAGGCTAGGCACTGTGATGCACATCTATAATCCCAGCACTCTGAGAGGCCAAGGCAGGAGAATTCCTTGAGCTCAAGAGTTCAAGACTATCGCTTCTCAGTCTTTTGACTAAGATCAAGTAAAGAGTTGAAGACCAGCCTGAGCAAGAACGAAACCTCATCTCTACCAAAAAATGGAAAAAATTAGCCAGACATTGTGGTGGGCCACCTGTGTGGGCTCAGACAGGAGAACTTCTTCAAACTGGGAGTTTGAGGTTGTTGTTACCTGGGCTGATACCATGGCACACTAGTCTGGTAACAGAGTGAAGCTATGTCAGCAAAAAATAATAATAAATTTAATTTAAAAATAAATAAATGTAGCTACTTGGAAGGCTGAGGCATGAGAATCACCTAAGCCCAAGAGCTGGAGGTTGCTGTGAGCTGTGATGCCACAGCACTCTACCAAGGGCAATAAAATGAGACTCTGTCTCAAAAAATAAAATAAATAAAATAAAGAGTGGGGAGAAAAGAATGCACAGAGAAGTAAGCTACTTCCCAACCTGCATGACAGATACAGTTCAATGAAAACATTACCTGTTTTCAGCTTTCTTGCTTCTGTTGCCAGGACTGGAGGATCGGGATCGGCGGCCCCGGCTTCTACTCCTTGAGCGTCTCCTGTCTCTACTTCGAGATCGTCTTCGCTCTCGGCTTCTGTCTCTTTCTCTACTTCTGGAACGTCTAAAAAGAGGGACATTTGTCATTTATTCCATGGCCAAATGGAGCTACTATTTCAGATCACAATTGTGTCTCATGTTGAAAAAGACTTATTACCATTATTAAGGGCAGAGGTCTCAATTAACTATTAAGTCAACAAAATAAGAGACAAGTAAAAAAAATCTGACAAGTGCTCAATGGAAAAAATGTGAATGCTAATGTCACAATGACGTTTGTGGGAAAACATAACAAATCTATAATAACAGCTAATTGAAATCTATCATCTCAAGTAGAAAACCTAGTTACCAGACAGCCAAAAACCTAAGGATGAAGATGGGTACAATAGGACTATGAAAAGATCACTAATCTGAAGATTAGGAGGCAAGAATTTCTTTTTTTTTGGTAGAGACAGAGTCTCACTTTATCACCCTGGGTAGAGTGTCATGGCATCACACAGCTCACAGCAACCTCCAACTCCTGGGCTTAGGCAATTCCTTTGCCTCAGCCTCCCGAGTAGCTGGGACTACAGGTGTCCACCACAATGCCCAGCTATTTTTTTGTTGCAGTTTGGCTGGGGCCGGGTTTGAACCCTCCACCCTCAGTATATGGAGCTGGCGCCCTACCCATTGAGCCACAGGCACCACCCAGGAGGCAAGAATTTCTATCCTGGTACTGCTAGCAATAAGTGATATGACCCAGGTCAGATCTTCAACTCACTTTAATCATCTATAAAATATGAGCACTTTACTAGGTAATCTCAAAATTTTTCTTTTTTTCTTTTTTTTGAGACAGAATCTCACTATGTTGCCCTTGGTAGAGTGCTGTGGTATCACAGCTCACAGCAACCTCAAGCTCTTGGGCTTCAGTGATTCTCTTGCCTCAGCTTCTCAAATAGCTGGGACTACAGGCAACCACTACAATTCCCAGCTATTTTTTTTTGTTGTAGTTGTTATTGCTGTTTGGCAGGCCTTGGCCAGATTCAAACCCACCAGCCCCTGTGTAAGTGGCCGGTACACAAGCCACTGAGCTATAGGCTCTGAGCCTCAGAATCTGTCTTACTCTAAAACCTTGTGATACTACTTATATTTTTTTTTTTTTTTTTGAGACAGTCTCATTTTGTCACCCCTGGTAGAGTGCTGTGGCATCACAGCTCATAGCAACCTCAAAACTCCTGAGCTGAAGTAATCCACCCGCCTCAGCCTCCCAGAGTGCTAGGATTATAGGCATGAGCCACCTCGCCCAGCCATCTTCTTTTCCCATTTTAATAAAAAACTGTGTTAAAAAAAATTTTTTTTTCTCATGTGGGAAAGATTATTTTTATTCACAGACTGTTTTTTTACATCCAGATAAAGCAATGGCTGCTTGACTGGTACCAAGAAATATGTAATCAAGTAAACATATAATAAAAATTAGGGCATGGTTTAGTTTAAATATAAGGCCAGTTGATTAAAATAGTTTAAAACAGGCCAGGCATGGTGGCTCACACCTATAATCCTAGCACTCAGGGAGGCTGAGGAGGGTGAACTGCTTGAGCAAACAGATTCGAGAACAGCCTGAGCAAGAGTGAGACCCCAACTCTAAAAATATCTGGACACTGTGGTAAGCACCTGTACTCCCAGCTACTCGAGAGGCTGAGACAAGAGAATTGCTTGAGCCCAAGAGTTTGAGGTTGCAGTGAGATATGACAACCATGGTACTCTACGGAGGGAGACAAAGTGAGACTCTATCTCTAAATAAATAAATAAATGAATAGTTTAAAACAGTGAGAAGTCTCTGTCCCCTATTTTCTTCTACTATCCACCTTAGAGGATGTTATGAACATAGTGGTCAGCTTTCTTAGGGAGGAGTTTGTTACCCTGTGGTTTAGTGTTTTACCTCCTTCAAGGGCCTCAAGGGTTCTTTCTGAGTTAAAAGAAATACAGCCTCAAGTTTCCAAACTAAAATAGTTTAAATGTTTATAGGCACAACCTTCTGGGTCTAATGAAACAAGTTAGGGATAAAGAAGAGGGCCCACAAATGAGCCACCAACTTCTCAAACCAAAAAAACACTTCTGAAGAAGGCCCAATTTATCACTGGTCCTTTGGAAATCAATGTCTTACCTCAAACGTTTCCTGTCCCTTGACCGAGATCTTCTTTTATCCCTGCTACGAGATCTCTCTCTTCTTCTATCTCTATCTCTACTTCTAGACCGTCTGTCATCTCCACGCTTACTTCTTTTGTCTGAGGGTGAGCGACTTCTAGATCGACTTCCAGAGCGTCCTCGTGATGCTGATCGTTTCCGATAGTGGCTAGCAAGTATATAGTCACAGATTAAGTTCAGGAAATACAGCTTCTATTATAAGGCACTTATTTTATTACATTTTTTAAACCAAAAAGAGTTCAGGAAACAATGTAAGAATTTTTTATAACTTTTTTTGCAATTAAGAGGAAACAAACCCCTCTGCAACAGCATACCTAGTGGTAGAAAATAGAGGGTGTCTGAAAGTCACTCCTAGAATTGCCATACCTAGGGAAAATGGAAAATTGTAGCTAAATGTACCTTTATTTACAAAATATTCCCTCTGTGTTGACCACCCTCCTTCTTGGCCATTATATAAGAATTTTGCCTTTTACTCTGGAAAGGTACTAGAGGATTTTCAGCAGAAAAGTGACATGACTTCCCTGGTATTAGGTAGCTATAGAGATGGTGGGAAATGTCAAAATCCAGATATTTTGAAGGTAGCACTGATGTGTGACAGCAAGAAAAAAGTCCCTTGAAGATAGATTGAATTGGAACAAGTAAGAAAATGAAGTTGCTGGCAGGGCAAGATGGCTCACACCTACAATCCTAGTTACTCTGGGAGGCCAACATGGGGTGGACTGCCTGAGCTCACAGGTCTAAGACCAGTCTGAACCAGAGTGAGACCCTGTCCCTAAAGATAGCCAGGTATTGTGGCGGGCACCTACAGTACCAGCTACTTGGGAGGCTGAGGCAAGAGAATCCCCTTAAGCCCAAGAGTTTGCAGTTGCTGTGAGCTGTGACACCACAGTACTCTACCAAGGGGTACAAAGTAAGACTCAGTCTCAAAAAAAAAAAAAGAAAAAGAGTGGCACCTGTGGCTCAAAGGAGTAGGGTGCTGGCCCCATATACCGGAGGTGGTTGATTCAAACCCAGCCTCAGCCAAAAAAAAAAAAAAGAAAAAGAAAAAATGAAGTTGCTATTTACTAACATGGGAAGGCTGATGGAGGAATAGACTTGGGAAGAAAGGGAGGAAATCAGAATATAGGTATCCAAGAGGAGATGTACTACAGATAAGTGAAATACTATTCTGGAGTTCAAGGAAGAGGTTTTATTCAGAAATATAAATTGGGAAGCCATCAGCACACAAAGGCTATTTATAGCTATAAACCTGGATAAGGTCACTGGGAGATGAGTATAAGCTGATTTCTTTTTTTTTTTAGAGACAAGAGTCTCAAGCTGTTGCCCTGGGTAGAGTGCCGTAGCGTCACAGCTCACAGCAGCCTCTTAATTCTTGGGCTCAAGTGATTCTCTCGCCTCAGCCTCCCAAGTAGCTGGGACTATAGGCGTCCACCTCAATGCCCAGCTATTTTTTTTTGCTGCAGCTGTCACTGTTGTTTAGCAGGACCCGGCTGGGTTCAAACCCACCACAGGCACCACTGAATGTACCCTGCTTATCTTTCAAGCACCGCAAGCTCAACATGTAAAAACCCAAACTTGTTACCTTTCTATCCCAAAACTACCACCCCAACTTCCAGTTGCTAGGATAAAAACATCCGTTATCATCAGTACTTTTCTCTTTTTCTCATTCTACACAATCAATAAACATCAAGTATCAGTAATTTCAATTCTGTAATTCCTTCTGCATATCACACCTCCTCGGATTTCCCAGTCACTATTCTACAGAGGATGCCAAAAGAGAAGCATATGCATTTTAAGAAAAGAAAGCAATCCTTTCACCTCACCCTCCCAAGTAGCTAAGACTGCAGGCATGTACCACCATGCCTTGCTAATTTTTTAAATTTTTGATAGAGACAGGGTCTTGCTACTTTTCCCAGGCTGGTTAACATGGACCTTCTTGTAAAGGGCCCTACAGGCTGGTTTTTTTTGTTTGTTTTGAAACAGAGTCTTTTGTTGCCTGAGTAGAGTATAGTGGCATAATCATAGCTCACTGCAACCTCAAACTCAAGTGATCCTCAGCTCAGCCTCCTGAGTAGCTATCAGCATGCAGCAGGCTAATTTTTCTATTCTTAGTAGAGATAAGCTCTTATTTTCACTCAAGCATGTCTCTAATTCCCAAACTCAAGCAATCCTCCCACCCCAGCCTCCCAGAGTGCTAAGATTACAGGCCTGAGCCACTGTCCCCAGCCTGAAGGCTGTCTTAAGTCTAAACTTCATCTTAAAAGCAGTAGAAACTAATGGAGACTATGTCAGAGAAGGATATAATCTCATCTTTATTTCAGAAGTCACCTGAAGATATATAAAGACTGGAGCAAGAAGAAAACTGTTACTCTGGCTATAAAGTGAGGGATCTGACAATTAAAGCAACAGAACAAGATCATCAATTCAGGGAAGGATCAATCTGAAACAGGTGTACAGTCTGGGCAATAAATGATTATGGCCTCAATTAAGACAAGGACACCAAGAAGGGGAAAAGGTGCAGAATCCAACTGGATGTGGACAAAAAGGGAAAAGGAGGAGGCCAGGCAGTGGCTCATACCTGTAATCTTAGCACTTTGGGAGGCTGAGGTGGGAAGCCACTTGAGCCCAGGAATTTAAGCTTGCAGTTAGTTATGACGACACTATTGCATTCTAACTCAGGCAAAAAAGACACTATCTCAAACAGGAAAAAAAAAAAAAAAAGAGAGAGAGAACAATGAGTTAAATCACTTCCAGATTTCTCATCTGGGTACTCAGCTAAAGTCAACACCTTTGTGGAGATTTAAAATTTGTCACAGATTTCCTGTAACTAAAGAAATATTCTTTATCTTCATTCATGTGATGATTACATGATTTCTATATTTGTTTTTTTGTTTGTTTCTTTGTTTTTGAGACAGAGCCTCAAGCTGACCCCCTCGGTAGAATACCATGGCATCAGAGCTCACATCAACCTCCAACTCCTGGGCTCAAGCAAGTCTCCTGCCTCAGCCTCCCAAGTAGCTGGGATCATAGGTGCTGGCCACAACACCCAGCTATTTTTTGGTTGCAGCCATCATTGTTGTTTGGTGAGCCAGGGCTGGATTCGAACCCGCCACCTTAGGTATACGTGGCCGGTGCCTTAGCCACTTGAGCCGCAGGCGCCAAGCTGGTTTCTATATTTGTTAAACTTTATCAACCTCTACCCTTAAGCTTTGTTCATTTTTTTTTTTTTTGGCAGTTTTGGCAGGGGCCAGGCTTGAACCCGCCACCTCCAGTATATGGGGTCGGCGCCCTAGGCCTTGAGCCACAGCACCACCTGTTCATTTTCTTGAAAGTCAGTTATACCTCAAGAAAGTACTGCTAGTATAAAAAAAAAAAAACCTTGATTGGGCACCTGCAACATACACCAGAGCCGGCAGTTTGAACCCAGACAGGGCCTGCTAAACAACAACGACAAATGTAACAAAAAAATAGACAGACATTGTGCTGGGTACCTGTTCTCCCTGCTACTTGGGAGGCTGAGGCAAGACAATCACTTAAGCCCAAGAGTTTGAGGTTGCTGTGAGCTGTGACACCACAGCACTCATACTGAGGGCGACATAGTGAAGTTCTGTCTCAAAAAAATAAATAAGGTAAAAAAATTACATATTTTTACATGGTGGCACACTGGAGACTAAGATGGGAGGATTGGTTCAGCCAAGGAGTTCAAGGATGCCAGGAGCCATGACTGCACCACTACACTCAAGCACCTGAGACCCTGTCTCTGATGAAGGAAAAAAAAAAAAGGACAAACCAAGGTCTCCAACAAGTTATCAACAATCTAAAGCTGGGATGAGGCTGTAATCCTAGCACTCTGGGAGGCTGAGGCAGGTGGATCATTTGAGCTCAAGAGTTTGAATCCAACCTGAGCAAGAGTGAGCAAGAGTGAGACCCCATCTCTACTAAAGATGAGAAACTGAAGCAAGAGGATCCCTTCAGCCCAAGAGTCTGAGGTTGCTATAAGCTATGATACCATAGCACTCTATCAAGAGCACAAACTGAGACTCCGTCTCAAAAAGAAAGAAAGAGAGGCTCGGCGCCTATAGC